ATCGTTATGAGACCCCCTCACAGCACCATTATTTACTAGTTAATTATAAATGAGACATTGATTACAATCTCCATACCCTTTAGTCCCCCCTTTTTTTTAAACGTTAAAAATTTGCATGAAAAAATAGGCAGGAGATTGTATACACAAAATTTCATAAACACACACAGAGCCTACATCTATACTTCAGCACAAACACACACACACACACACAGAGGGGAGGGGGTCCTGGGAAGGGGGTTGGGATGGGAGAGGGGGAGGGGGGGGGGAGTTGGGGGAAGGGGGGAGTGGGAAAGACAGAATTAGTGGGAGGAATGGAAGAGAATAAATATGAGAAAGAGACTGAACAAGAGAGCTGTGTGTGAGTGTATAGTTGTACTCATCCTAGTTGTGCTTATGGGGGTTGAGCTTTGGTTCTTTGGTCCCGCCTCTCAACTGTCAATCAACTCACACAGTGTGTGTGTGAGAGTGTCGTAAGGGGAGTTGGGGGCCGTGCTCAATGCGTTCGTATAGAATAAAAGTTGAATCGTATAGGTATTTTCTGTGCTTTCCCCTGTTGGTTGGGATGTCCATCACTTTCATCCACGACCCAAAGAAAGCAATCTCGCAGAAGCTGACTGTGTTTTCTCCCCCCGGTGTCTCTGACTGGCAAAGAATTACACAGCTAACTTTACGAGTTCCAGCGCCCCAAATCAGCATTTAATACGCAATACTTTTTCACGCGGAAAAATGCATTTACAAAATGTTCAAATAAAGGCATCTGCTTAATCAAAAATGCAATATATCCGTGAGCGATATTTAAATGTAAATTCTCCCGATCATAACCGATAAATCCAACTCTGCCATGTATTTATGTGGACATAAACATGGCGGCTAATGTACAAACAATTATTTCTGTGCGCTCCCCCCTCTTCCCTCCCTCCCTCCCTCCCTTCTCCTGTTCTAGCAGGTGCTGGTGGCCAGCTGCTGTTTTCTCCTGATGATCGCAGGCAACCCCCTTCCCTCCCTTTCCTACTTCCCTCCCTTTCCTACTTCCATCCCTTTCCTACTTCCCTCCCTTTCCTACTTCCCTCCCTTTCCTACTTCCCTCCCTTTCCTTCTACCCTCTTTCCCACTAACTGCAATCTTCCTAAACTCCGCCCTTTCCCCTTTCCAAACCTCTTCCCCCAATTCCCTTTCACTACTGTTTCTTTATCTCCCCCCCTCCCCCATTATCCATTCCCACATTCCCCCTCTCTCATTCACCATTCCTCCCGTCTCTCCTCCACATATCCCATTACCTATTTCATGTTCTCATCGGCTATTGGATTTTATATCTTTTGGCTTCCATATCTAATTTCGATGCAATTTATAAGTTTCCTGTTTGATTTCTGCTTAATAAGGTTCTGGTAGTTCTTCTACTCCCCGAGCCCGCCCCGGGGGCCAGGCTTGACTTGTGATGCCATGCATTAAGTGCGAGTATTCTATAGTGTTTCTGTGACTAATTTTCTAACTTTCACCAATGTTTTGCTGTTAAAATTTTTGTTGTCTGAAGCGTACTGTTACATCATAAAATTCAACCTAAGATTCATGCAGCATATTAAATTACTGTGATAGTTATTTTTTACATGGAGATCATGTCTCCTCTCTAACAATGTTAGGTGAAGCACATAGTTACTCAGTACAGTCTAGACTACCTGATGTTAGCGTGACTGTGGTAAATGATCTCGTTCAAGAACCCCTCGATAAACTGCCTGGAGCAGTTTATATATATATATATATATATATATATATATATATATATATATATATATATATATATATATATATATATATATATATATATATATAAGCACACCCTTAAAGGAAGAACTATATATCAGGTGTTGAATCCAAACTCCTAAATTCGGACAGTATCTAACACCAAGATCACCCGTAAAGGGGAAAAGAGAAGGGAAACGTGGATCGTCATCAAGGAAACAGGATTAAGACAAGGAAAAGTGATTAGAGAAATGTGCAACATTTGAAGATGATGAGGTGATGCTGCTTGATGAAGTTATCGAGGACCGGGATAACATCATCAATGGTTGTAATCTTTTGATTGCTGGAAACTATCAGTGGTTGGGCACTATTTCTTCCCCCTTATCTCCCCCACCCCCACGTCCCATCCCAAAGCCTTATCCTGATCCTTTCCAAGTGTTATGTAGTGGTAATGGCTTGGGGCTTTGTGCTGATAGTACCCCCCCCCCCCCTTTTTAACCCTTCAGGTCGGGTATATGGGCCGGTCTCCATCTTCTTCTTCTTAGTGTGCTTCCTTAAAGCTCTCAATTTTCCTGAAGCTCTCTCAGCTTCTCTGAAGCTCTCACAGCTTCCCTGAAGCTCTCACAGCTTCCCTGAAGCTCTCAAAGCTTCCCTGAAGCTCTCAAAGCTTCCCTGAAGCTCTCAAAGCTTCCCTGAAGCTCTCACAGCTTCCCTGAAGCTCTCACAGCTTCCCTGAAGCTCTCACAGCTTCCCTGAAGCTCTCAGGGAAGCTGTGACATATAGCAACTAAGATGGACAAAATCTTGTTAAGAAAATGTGAACACATCTCGTATCTGCCTCACTGAAGATGGAAATGACTTAGGAAAATGTAGAAATGAGGAATTTGTATTATAAACCAAATGGCCGGTTATAGAACACACACATCTATCAATGGGAATATTTAGATGTATTCTAAGATGTACGTCACACAATCTTAAATCACACACACTAAGCAACTTTAGCTGAGGCAGTGTACTAGACTATTTCTCTGGCTTGTAAAGGATTGTATTCCTGGTTTGTACAGGCAGGGAGACTATTGCAAACTGTAAACATGATTACCATGATTGGACAGGGGAGGTAAATATATTGCGGTCCCCCCCCCCCTTGCCCCCCAAATAAAAACGCAAAAGATTTTTAGAAAGGTATTCTAAAAATAACAGTGGAAAAAAAGGGAATTAGCAATAAAACAAGATGAGTAAATTACATTTTGAGTTCACAGGAACAAATAATGTTCGTGTTAACACACACACGCATACACACATCTTAGGGGGGTCTGGTAGCTGAGTTGACTGCGCGCGGGACTCGTAAACCTGTTACCTTGAAGTGCTTTCGGAGTCTAGCGTTCCCGCGGCCCGGTCGTCGACCAGGCCTCCTTGGTCTCTCCGGTCCTATGGCCCGGGTTCGATTCCCGGCGCATGCAGAGACAAATGGGCAGAGTTTCTTTCATCCTGATGCCTCTGTTACCTATCAGTAAATAGGTACCTGGGAGTTAGGCAGCTGTTACAGGCGGCTTCCTGGGTGTGTGTGTGTGTGTAAAACAAAAATTAGTTAGCAGTTAGTAACAGTTGATTGACAGTTGAGAGGCGGGCAGAAAGAGCAGAGCTCAACCCCTGCAAGCACAACTAGATGAATAAACTATGTGAATACACACACACACACACACACACACACACACACACACACACACACACACACACACACACACACACACACACACACGTTAGAAAGAACCTTTTCAGCGTCAAGAGTAGTTAACAGATGGAATGCATTAGGCAGTTATGTGGTGGAGGCTGACTCCATACACAGTTTCAAATGTAAATATGATAGAGCCCATGCAGTAGGCTCAGGAATCAGTACATCAGTTGATTGACAGTTGAGAGGCGGAACCAAGGATCCAGAGCTCCACCCCCGCAAGCACAATTAGGTGAGAACACACACATACATTTAGTAATACTTTCCATTGACAACGGCTTGAAATATGCTGGAAAAGCGGTTGTGTGTGGGGAGGCGTCAGACGGAGATGTGGGAAGTCAGGTGTGTGTGTGTGTGTGTGTGTAGAAGGGCCAGGTGTAGGAGGAGGAGGAGGAGGAGAAAGAGAAGAAGGAAGAGGAGGAGAAGAAAGTCAGGGACTACTTAGGTCTCTCTCTCATTTTAACCCTTCCCTCACGCCTCTCCACGACCCTTAAAGCCCCAATCACTCCATGAATAGAACTAATTACATCGTAAAATGCACATTGGAGGCTCCACAATCAACAGACCATCCAAAGCTTTTCAACCCGATTCGTCCCAACGAGAAAATGTTTAATGCCTGTGTCAGCCTCCCCCTCGGACTCCACACAAGCTTACAACCATCGTTCATTGTTCCTGAACTACAATCCACCGTGGAACAATCCCCATATTTACCCATAAAATATGGAATGAACAAATAAACGAAAGCTAGTGATGCTATCTCTCGTGAGATTCAGATAGCAGCCATCAAAGTTGATAACCTTGTAAGTTGCGACTGAAACTTGGTTGAAAACTTAGGTCCATTCGACTAGAGAGCGAGGATGGGTGGTTACTTGTTTTATCGTGACTTATAAATAAACTTATAAATCGTTTTATAATGGGAGTTTTAATTGTTCTCATGTTTGTCACGTATTATATCAGGAAATAAAAAAAATTGTCATCAGGTAAATTCAACCGCTTCCTATATGTAGTAACTAATTGACAGAATCACATTGTTAAGCATCCAGCATATAGCTCTATGTTCTCGAGTCTAAGCAACATATAATCAGATTGAAATTAAATCAACAGAGTATATTGATTACATTAATCAATAGAGTATATTGATTACATTAATCAGCATATTTATAGACCAATTTTGAGCTATTTTATAAAGAATTTTGGAATAATCTACATATTTAATTTTGGCAGTTTGTTCAGATTTAGCTCACGTAACTTTTTATTTCAATTTAGCATTATCCAATAAAGTAGATATTTAGAGTAATAGGGTAATATGGGATAATTCAGCATCTTAGGCCCTGGTTTCAATTTGTAATTGGAAGAGCTCTAACGTGGAGAACACGACTCTAACTCCACCACAACATTAGTGAGACACACTTGAAACCTGGAGTGTTGGTAGTTGTAGCTAAGTGCCTTCTAGGTCCCAAGTGTGTTTAGTAAAACATTTGTTTCTGTTTGTTTTACCTCATCGTGGTCCACCTCATCGTGGTTTACCTCACCGTGGTCCACCTCATCGTGGTTTACCTCACCGTGGTCCACCTCATCGTGGTTTACCTCACCGTGGTCCACCTCATCGTGGTTTACCTCACCGTGGTCCACCTCATTGTGGTTTACCTCACCGTGGTCCACCTCATCGTGGTTTACCTCACCGTGGTCCACCTCATCGTGGTTTACCTCACCGTGGTCCACCTCATCGTGGTTTACCTCACCGTGGTCCACCTCATCGTGGTTTATCACATAGGCAGTACATCTCTCTATTAAGCCTAGAAACGTTAGTTAAATCAAACATTTCTGTCCAAGTATTTTCAATTTGATCCATTAGACTATTGTGATTTGAGTTTGTAAGAATATATTAGTGTATTTTGGGAACATGTGTTCTCTACTACACGTGTAATTGAACACAACAGTATTTTGACTATTGTTAACTTTCTTGGGGATATTTTCTACTCTACGTAAATACCTTCTGCCATTTAGAGCGCTGGTTCCCAAACTGTGGGGCCATGGCCCTCTAGAGGACCTTTTTTTTACAATATGTAGAGGGATCTACATTAAACTAAGACAATTACATTAAAATTACTGTAAGTTATAAATTAACAAGAACGCAACACCCCAGGGCCCAGGTTCCCAGACAGGGGCAGGTGTCCATTAATATAATGTTAATTATTTATGGCAGTGCAATTGACGATCCAGCATCGCCCGTCTCAAGCGAGTTACCCCTCAAGGGAACAACTCTTGCACATTTTTAGTTGCAGTATCAACTCTGCAAAACACTGTATGATGGTGATTTATTGGTTTTTTGTTTGTGTCTATCGACGAACTATATAATGAGGGCCTAGCTAACTAAATCTATCAACGAGGGCCTCCCTAATTATATCTAACAACGAGGGCCGCCATAACTAATTCTATCAACGAGGGCCTCCTGCTTCGTCTTAGTGAAGCTGAACACATAATGCGATCTGGAGAAGGCGACGAAACTGTCTTCTCTTCTCAAAAACGGAAATAAAAACCAGTGCTATAGTGAAACTACAAAGCATTGTAATGTTGACGTTACCTCGAACTATACAGCTATACATATATAATATATATATATATATATATATATATATATATATATATATATATATATATATATATATATATATATATATATATATATATATATATATATATATATATATATATATATATATATATATATATATATATATATATATATATATATATATTATATATTATATATATATATATATATATATATATATATATATATATATATATATATACATATTATATATATATATATATATATATATATATATATATATATATATATATATATATATATATATATATATATATATATATATATATATATAGGTGAGAACCTGAGGTCATAGTACGCTTCCGGTAAGACAAAAACCACTTTAAATTGTACAGTTAGCACATCAGAATAAATAAATATATAGTAATTTTGTCACCTGCTCTAAATCTAAATTCCTTTATCTCCCCAAAAAATGTAATTTTCCAAAAACTTATTTTAAAAAAATTAGAAACATGTTCCTGAGTTGTTATTTGATGTTTAAAATCATCAGGACAAATATAATTATATCATACAATTACTCCAATTAGCACACACAGTCACATAAATACAACAATTTGTCATACACAATCACATATATACAATAATTCCCATCCTATGGACCGTGATATGATCGTTTAAATTGAAACAATTCTGAAGGTTTGAACGTCATTTACTAAAATAAAAAAACAAATTGGCATAAATATGAATATAATGTAAACCTCATTTGAAATCCTACCTATTTAATTATGCCGAAAACATTCTTCACTCAAAAAATAAGTATGCCCAGGATAAAATAAATTTAATATCCTTATTTTTCAACCCGTTATATACAAATTACAAATTTTTCGAGAGTAGGAGTAATTGGTTTGACATTTTGAGGGGATCAGGTTCGTCTACACCAGACAGACGAAAGCTTAGCATTCAAGTATGGTGGAAATTATGGCTCAGAATAATTTCTATTTATGAATGAATATATGTAAATTTACTTCGTTTTGGCATTAACATTCAACCAATTAATTAATAGTCCGGGACCCTAGTGAATATTTACACCAAAAAGACCAAAACTCTGGAATATATATATTCCAGAGTTTATATTTATACATCCTCTGCCAAAGGACAGGAGGATGGCATGCAAGACACGGCGAGGTCAATGACATTATTAAGAGAAGCCTTACCACAGCCGATTGTCCAGCAGAGAGAGAGCCCCGGTACCTAATGTCCCGTAACTCTGAAGAGCCTGTCGGTCGCCCAGACGGAATCACGGTGAACCCCTGGAAGAATGGTAGACAGTTGGTGTGGAACTACACTTGCGTTTCAACTTTAGCCAATACCTATGTTGACTTCAGTGCTACACAAGCAGGAGGAGCTGCCAATCACCGGGAAGCGGCCAAGTCACGTAAATACAGAGACCTTGAGCACCATTACAATTTTGTCCCCATTGCCTCAGAGACACTCGGTGCCTGGGGTAAAAGTGCTGCTAGCTTTTTGAAGGAGTTGGGGTCTAAGCTAATCGAAACAACTAGAGACCCTAGAGCTGCCAGTTTTCTTTTTCAGCGCCTTAGTGTGGCAATCCAGAGAGGAAATGCTCACTGCATCCATGGTTCCTGCCCGCCATCTGAGGAGCTGGAGGAGCTGTTCAACTTGTGACAAGGAGCCTTGTACCCTGCATGTAATCAATATTGTAACCTTTTTTGTGTAATGACATTTTCAAATAAAGTTAGATAAATACACATACATACCAAAAGAATAGGGGTGGTAGGAGAAGAAAATATCAAAGTGTTCAGTGAGGATCCACAAGGTCTTCTCTGAGTACTCTTTACTTTCTTCTCCGAGGCTATGGGTCCCTACACTTGCACCAGAGGTAGTAAGTACCCCTATATATATTAAAAAAAAATATTATATATATATATATATATATATATATATATATATATATATATATATATATATATATATATATATATATATATATATATATATGTCGTACCTAGTAGCCAGAACGCACTTCTCAGCCTACTATGCAAGGCCCGATTTGCCTAGTAAGCCAAGTTTTCATGAATTAATTGTTTTCGACTACCTAACCTACCTAACCTAACCTAACCTAACTTTTTCGGCCACCTAACCTAACCTAACCTATAAAGATAGGTTAGGTTAGGTAGGGTTGGTTAGGTTCGGTCATATATCTACGTTAATTTTAACTCCAATGAAAAAACATTGACCTCATACATAATGAAATGGGTAGCTTTATCATTTCATAAGAAAAAAATTAGAGAAAATATATTAATTCATGAAAACTTGGCTTATTAGGCAAATAAGGCCTTGCATAGTAGGCTGAGAAGTGCATTCTGGCTACTAGGGACGACATATATGTATATATATATATATATATATATATATATATATATATATATATATATATATATATATATATATATATATATATATATATATAACCCCACAAGCCCGGAACTCTGGTACATATTTCACTCATAAGCCCAAGATTGTTGTATATTTAAACCACAAGCACAAGAATGTTGTATATTTGTATATATATACAGTTGTATATATACAGTTGTATATTTGTATATATATACAGTTGGACGAGATTGTTTGGTATGTAGTTCTTTGGCTATATTTACTCTCTAATTGGCGCTGTAGCTGACTATTATTTTCATATTACTGGATATTGTCTAGATATCCATAGTGATGGTCTGGGTGGGTGTAGAAATGAGGTGAGCTTTGACAGAACCGTTTGTAGGTTCTTTAGACAGAACCAAGCTGTTTGTACATTGGTATGCCTATTTAAATAGATTTCATTGTCCTGCCTATATAGTAAGACTGACGGTAAGAGGACATGTAAAGGTAAGGTTGACTTGCGTTTTTTTACAAGGCATTCTGTTTCGTTCTGTTTGGTGTCGGGAGAGATTTTTACAAGCAAGTTGACGGTGTTCATTCTCTAGGAGTATATGGTAAAGAGTAACTTCTGTTTAGATTTAGACACGCAAACTCTCAAAATAGTTAGAATGTTATGGCCTACTTTTCTTAAGCCCTCAAGAAAACTTGCTTATGCTTTCTTCTTTTTTTCCTGCATTCATAAGATATATTATTTGGTGTTGTTTATTGAGTACACATTCTTGGGCAAACATGTTATCTCAAGATAACATTGACATATAGAGTACATATCAAGAACTAGCTATGTGGTACTCTGATCCCCATCGTGTAGGAAGGGCTGCCATACTTGGGTACGATATCAATTTGCCAGCATTAGCAAAATTAGACGGATTATGAGGATATCTTCCAGAACACGGAAGTGGGGGGAAGTAATTGTAATTCTCGAGTTTCCTCTTACCAGCAGGTCTGAAGCTTCTAATGACTGAAATTTTAATAACGTAATGTTGGAGAGCATGATCAAGCTCTTGTTCACAGAACATGCAACATGGAATGCTCTGGATTTAAAGATTTCTCTCCCGTAGCTGATCTTGATTAACCCCAACTTGATCTTATGATTAACTTTACAATATCTGGTTGAAGGTTTGCGCTGCCCATACATACAAAAAGTATATAGGTGTCAGAACTAACATGGGAGTTTATGCTATTCTAAGGGGGGCTGACGGCTGAGTGAACAGCGATTCGGATTCGTAGTCCTGAGGTTCCGGGTTCGATCCCCCGTGGAGGCGGAAACAAATTTGCAAAGGTTCTTTCACCCTAATGGCCCTGTTCACTTAGCAGTAAATAGGTGCCTAGGAGTTAGACAGCTGCTACGGGCTGCTTCCTGGGGGTGTGTAACAAAAAGGATGCCTGGTCTAGGACCGGGCCACGAGGACGCTAAGACCTGAAATTATCTCAAGATAACCTCTCAATATCTTAAAGAACCTTATCATAGTTCATGTAATGTGGCTTTTCGGCCTTTCAATATCTGTTATCTCTCTTATATAAGCCATGAATAATGAGGAAAGTGGAATAGAAACTCCAGTAGCATTGGAATTTCTGGAGGAATCCGAAGATTGCTTCGTAACCGAATTTAAATATACACTATACCTTTATTAAAATTAAAATTAAATATACCATGGATATATTATGTTCCTGGTACTGGTAAACAAAAGAACGTTTATCAATAAGCCCTTGTCGATAAAGTCACTTAAGATTTTGTTACAATGAGATGCGTATTATGAGATGCTAAAGATATGTGCATACCCTTAGATTCATTTTATCCTTGGCTATGTTCAGGGATAAAATATACTTGCTGGTTGGCCAGCAAACTAGTCTAAGGGCCTTAATAACTCTCCACAGGTTATCTTGAGGTTATATCTTGAGATGATTTCGGGGCTTTAGTGTCCCTGCGGCTCGGTCCTCGACCAGGCCTCCACCCCCAGGAAGCAGCCCGTGACA